TCCTTGGTCTTGATGTTGCTTTACCAATGAATCAATTTAGAGTTCTTCTATGGAGTTAGTAAGTGAAATACGCATCGTGGGTTCGACATCAAGCTTGTTTCTTGATTTGGTTTTGATTGTAGTTATTATGTTTATTACAACATGTAAAAATATTAGTTAGTGGCCTTTGCATACTCAAATATAACTCATTTAATAACGAAAAAATATTTGATAGATACGCAACTTTTGTCAATCAAATTATATCTTGAAAATGGATGGATAACAGTGAATTTTTTTCTCTTAAAAATACTTCTATTTCAGTTCTTAATTCAAAAAATCTCGTTAAAATTTTTCTCCATGATAACCAACGTACATGAGGTTTCATTTATTATTTATAAGGCTTAAAAATAAAAATATTATACTAACGTTTTAAATTTTTATCCGACCCATTTAAAATTATCATCGACCCAAAATTGGGTCGCGACCCTATGGTTAAGAACCGCTGTGATAGATTATATATTTTATAACCATGTTTTAGTTGAAAAGCAAATAAAGAGTATTGAATTATTTTTGATTTATATGTATTATTTTGTTATGTCTTATTAAAATGTTAATCGGTATTTTAGTTTCTTGGGTGAGTAAAGTGAAAGTACTAATTAGAGGCAATATTAAATTAACTCAATAATTCTCGATTGAGTTAGGTAATATGTAAATAGGCGTCGTTCACAATTGTACACTTTCAAAAACAGGTCATCGTTCAAAACCGCACACTTTTATATCTTAATCCCACATATTTTCGCTAAATCAAATATTCAATTCCGCACTAATTTATATATATATATATCAATTACGTATACATTTATCTAAGATAATATGAGTGCACCTCGAGATCGAGCGGGGTCATTTGCTCGCTGCGCTCGCTCGGACAGTTAAAAACGAAAATATCCCTCGATTTGCCATGCAACATCACCTCAAGTAGGTCCCACGTTAGATAGGACTCATACGAAACTGGCAACGTGAACTGTACATGTAAAGTGTGCAATAGGGTGGCCCTTAAAAATAGATGTTTAATTTTTTTTTGCGGCACCATCTCATTTTTCATACTCGATATTTATTGTTTAATAATTTTTGGTTGAAAAAAAAAAAGTTATAGCACAATATAAAGATTTTTCCGTAAAAATGACAAAACTACTCAACTTCAGGTGTACGGGAGCATGGCTTAAAATGGAATGATTGATTTCAAATTTTGCAGGTATTATTTTTTTGGGCATTACCAAAAAATGGGTGGGTGCCGTAAACTCTACAATAAAAAAAAAAAAATTACACGAATAAAATAAGGCCACCCCAGTATGCAAAGAGAAAGTAATTGTTAATCAAATGTGTGCGGTTTTGAACTATCAACCTTTCAAATTTTATTATATTTTTTTTACATATTATTTTTTATTTTATTTTTTTTATATTATATATAAAATAAATAAATAATAATAAGTCTTCCTTAGAGAATTCGTCTAGTTAAATATCATGGTCGAGATTATTAATAATATCTCTCTTGATGTGCAATAAGTTTTTAATTCAGTTTTTAATATAATGCATGGTTAACAAAGATCATTCACATGATGCAGAACTAATAAATAGTAACATGGATACTTTAAGTAAACAATGAATATTAGGATACACTTCTTTTGTATTTTTTTTTTAATTTTTCTAAACCAAAATTTGGTTATAACTGTATGCCACATTTGTGTGCTGCAGTTATTTCACAACTTAATGCTTCTTTATCAATAGAAAACAATGTCTAATAAAATTAATAAATTATTACAATTATAAAAGTATTAAATAATTATTATATTTAATTTATATTTGGTGATGATAAGAAACACTATACTTTTATTCAAATTTAATTAAATAAAATTGTTTATTGAATTTTCAAGAGCTTAACTCATTTTTAAATCATTTACTCAAAGTGTATTATAATTGCATCCAATATAGCATATGTAATGTGCACGAGAAAACCAATATTGATAATTGTAATTTGTTTTATTTGTGTCAAAACCTTGGATATAGATATAATTTCCTTGTATATGCACCTTATAATTCTCCAAGTAAATTTTATAACCAAATTAAATTTATGGGCCATACGATGAATGTAATCTGCTTCAGGGTATAAGTCTCTTATTCTAGTTTGAACACTAAAAAAATTATATTATTTATAATTTATAAGCAATAATTAATTTGTAATTTATATTAATAAATACTCAAGTAAAGAAACATACTTTTTCCAATTGTTGTATCCTTTTTTTATTAAATTTTTTTTTTTTTTTTAATTCTTTGCAAAATTAATACATTTAAAGCAAAAAGTAGCATTACAAGATCTGCTATATTCTAGCCATTTAAATTCACTATAGTATTTAGCATTAAAACTTCTATTCTGAGTTCAAATTGTTGTTAATGAAAATGTTTAGAAAAATTTTTTCAATATTGTCGTTATGTTCATAACGTTCATGGTTACATATTTTATTTACTTTTGAATCATCAAATGATTCTTTACAGACATGTTAAAATTATTTATTCATGTTTATGTTTTCTGTTTCATTTTGTTTTTAATATTCAAAATTGAAGAACATACTTAAAATTAATCTAACTACTTCTCATTTTTTTGTTGATTTAAGTAATATCACAAAAAAGGTTATTGTGTACACTACAAGTAGGTACATATAAGTACTGACAATACTGTACATAATATGTATTCATGTTATAAAATATAAAATATAATATTAAAACAAATTAAAGATAGTATTTAGATGATGAAATTTATCCTTTATTATAAAGTACTTGATTGATAATTGATTAATAATAAAACCATGAAAACTAGAGATTTATCTATAGATATACCTAGTCTTCATGATTAAAACAATAAAACAATGAGCTTATTGATAATAAATTATATCGATATTAAAAATACGTCAAAAATTTGTACTTGACCGATAAGGACATGACATTAAAGAGACATGGGTAACTTAATACACATCGGGGTCGCGGAAAGAAAAAAAAAGAAAAACCTCTTCAAATGAATACATTGTGTTGCACAAAGCTTAACAACTTGCTTGGATATATTAATGTGAAGCATCAGAATTTTCAAAAAAATTTGAATGAGAAATATTGCATCCATGACATGGATAACAAATAAATCGCTATATTGATCCTTCTATTCTCGAACACACTAAAGAAAAATAGTTAGAAATAATTTAAAATAAATAAATAGAAACGATATTCATGTAAGGGTGAATAGAAACTATTAAACCTAAAACAGACCTTAGTATTAAGTCGGTTAATGTCTTTTTATAATTAAAATAAATTTTTGTACCTAAATAAAAACTTCAACATTTAAATAATATTCCGCAACACACGGATTAACAAACCGCAACGGAAACAATGATGAGGCAGCTAATCTATGTACAATGTTATTTATCTTATTCTATTTTCGTTTGTTAAATCATTTCATTCATACAAATTACAATTTTTATAATTACTGCAGAGAGTATATGAGTATTAATATTAATAACAAATAAATTAAAAAACTAAGCCTTTTTTAACGTATTTTTTTTATCGCGATTGACAAGCATTTATAAATATTATTTATTGTTATAAAACACAATTTTTAATATTTTATCCATGTTTCAAATAACAATACATTGTTATATTTGTACATGGTTATATTCTAACTTGCGATATAGCCTAATAGTTTTAGTAAAAATCGTTTTAAACTAATATAAGAGTGTATAAAAACTATTAAACCTTAACAGATCACAGTATTCCATCGGTGAATGCATTAAAATAAATTTTTGTAATTAAAAAACATTTAAATTTAAATAATATTTTTTGGCGCCATACTGCGACGAGAGCAACGATGAGACAGATAATCTATGTCTAATATTACTTGTCTTATTCTATTCACCTTTGTTAATTATTTTCATAATTACAAATTATGTTTTTTTATAATTCCTGCCCATTTTATATATTAATACTGATAAAATAAAAAAATAAATTATTATTTCTTTTTCTTTTTCTTTTTATTAGAGTAAACAGCCGAAATCTAGGAGCCGATCCAAAGTAAAACAAACTTATTAGTGACAATTACTTATCTACTTACTCCCAGGAATAATGGTACGTCGTTTTTATTTTGAATAACAACTTTAATTATAACGAAATTGATTAAATTTATGTTTTTAAACTTCGGCTTAATTTTTTTATATTTAATCCATTAACTTATTAAACTTAAAATAATTAAGTATCAAAGACTGTTATGTAAATAATATTTTTCCATTACATAAATCAATTTTTCTCCTTTCTATATTTAGTTAAATTATTAATATTCTAAATTTATAAATTAAATTTCGATTTATTTGAATTGGTATTTATTTTTTATTATCAAATAAATTTTTGTGTTTCGCCTGCATGAGTAATCTCTAGATCCCTTTTCATTTTTTCTTTAGTTATTAAAGTATTCGTTTTTATTAATAATTTAAATATAATGTTGTTAATACATTTATTTATGTTTTTTCAGTACATAAATAATGTTTAAAATTATGACATAATTTATATATTTCCCGGTCATCAGGCACAAGAAAACTTTTTTTACTTACTTCTTTTATCGCGACTAAAAAATATTTAAAAATATGATTTTGATGTTGTAAAATGTAGTATATTTTCAATATTTAATTTATATTTCAAATAAAAATATATTGTTATATTTGTAGATAGTTATATTCTAGCATGCACTATAGAGTAATAATTTTAGTAAAAATCGTTTTGAAACTTAAATGAGGGTTTATAAAAACTTTTTCAACTTTAACAGACCTTAGTATTTCATCGGTTAATACTTTTCATAATTAAAATAAATTGTTGTAAATACAAAACATTTAAATTATTAATACTCTAAATTTATAAATTTAATAGTATTAGTAATTTTTTTATCATTATTTAATTTTTTGTTTTTTGTTTCGTCTGCGTAAGTAGTCTCTAGATTTCTGAATACACCTTCTAATTTTTTCTTTTGTCATTAAAGCATTCATTTTTTATTATAATGTAAAGTATAATGTTCTTAATAATATTTCTTATATTTTTTTTAGTACTTAAATAATGTTTAAAATTATAATATAAATTATATTTCCATCGGCTTTCAGGCATCAGGAAACTAAGCCTGTTTTAACGTACTTCTTTTATCGCGATTGCGAAGTATTTATAAATATAAATTATTGTTATAAGACACAATTTTTAATATTTAATTCATATTTCAAATAACAATACATTGTTATATCCTAATATGCACTATAGCCTAATAGTCTTAGTAAAAATCGTTTTAAACTTAAATGAGAGTGTATATAAACTATTACAACCTTAACAGACCACAGTATTCCCTCGATTAATGCGTTAAAATAATTTTTTGTAAATAAAAAACATTTAAATTTAAATAATATTTTTTGGCGCCATACTGCGATGGGAGCAACGATGAGACAGATAATCTATGTCTAATATTATTTGTATTATTTAATTCACGTTTGTTAATTATTGTCATTCTTACAAATTATGTTTTTTATAATTCCTGCCCATTATATATATTAATACTAATAAAATAAAAAAATAAATTATTATTTATTTTTCTCTAATGATTAAAGTATAATTAATTATTGAAATATTGTATTTGTTCTTTTTATTACAGTAAACAGCCGAAATCTAGAAGCCGATCCAGAGTAAAACAAACTTACGAGTGACAATCACTTATCTACTTACTCCCAGGAATAACGGTAAGTCGTTTTTATTTTGAATAACAACTGTAATTATAACAAAATTGATTAAATTTATGTTTTTAAGCTTTGACTTAATTTTTTATATTTAATCCATTAACTTATTAAACTTAAAATAATTAAGTATTCTCCGTTGTGTAAATAATATTTTTCCATTACATAAATCAATTTTTCTCCTTTCTATATTTAGTTAAATTATTAATATTCTAAATTTATAAATTAAATTTCAATTTATTTGAATTGTATTTGTTTTTTATTATTAAATATATTTTTGTGTTTTAACTGCATGAGTAATCTCTAGACCCCTTTACATTTTTTCTTTTGTTATTAAAGTATTCATTTTTATTAACAATTTAAATATAATGTTTTTAATACATTTATTTATATTTTTTCAGTACATAATAATGTTTAAAATTATGACATAATTTATATATTCCCCGGCCGCGTATTACCAAACCAGCTAGAGCGGAAGTTCCCAACTTTTTTTGACTCACGACACTCTTTATTATTTTTTAAAAATTTGGAAGCACCCTATAGCCAATGCTTTATACTTTATAGTTCATACTGAATACACAATACTAATATATCATAGATTTAAATTTATATTTTGTAACTTCGGTTTTATTTAGCATTAATAAATAATAAAGATAAGACAAAGTAACAAGTATTTGACTGTAAATAACTCTAAAACAGTTCACATCAAATCGATAGCAATCGAACCAGTATGAAAATTAAAATAAATTGAACATCTCAGTATTACTATGTAAAAAATTATATGTTTTAATAATTAATTCATTAAATTATATTTTATATACCTAATTAACTATAAACAATAGTTTTTATACTATAGACATAGAGTATAGTCTGTTTTATTACTCACAGTACTATATTTTTCATGAAGGCGCTTAAAAATAAATATATATTTCAAATATTTTTGCCGCACCCTAAATTTTATATCGCGGTACCTTAGGGTGCCGTGGCACCCTGGTTGGGAACCTCTGGGTTAGAGCCCCATCGTCGTATACAAATACGCTGTTTTCATTGGTTTATTTGAAAAAACCGCGAAAATATATTTTTCTTTTATCAAATAGGGTTTAGCCAACTTTCTTAAACAACATAAAATAAGACATAAATAAAACAATTTCTGTTTTGAGTAAAAGACATTTATAAATTATAAAACATTCTTACTTCACTTATTGTTCTTAAAAATGTTAAAGCATTACATGAGTCAACAGTAGGATTATGAGTCCATACAATTTTGATTAAAGCATTTAGTGGTGAAGAATACTTTAAATAATCATCATTCTTCCTAGTATTTTTTTTTTTTTTTTTAATAAAATATCAATCGAAGATAAGCAACCAGTAAATTGGTTAGTACTTTTTTTTTTTTTTAATTATAGTGACTGATAATATTCTTGTGAAAAATTACCCTACACAGTATAAAAGTATTGTTTTTAAATATATCTCACAACTTATTTAATTTGCATTTAAATAATATATTACTTGATTGGTTTTAATATATCTGACTTATAACAAATTAATGAATCAACTTAGGTATATATCATCAAATTATAAATTAGATATTAATTAATTACATTAAGAATTTGGTTATAATGTATAGGTACATTTTTGTGATATTTTTATAGGTATTAATTTTAAATGACATTATGATAACGAGTGTGTAACATATCAACCTGGACAAAATCGTATTTCTTTAAGTTACAAAACTCCCTACTCTCTAACGTTATTTCTAACGTTTTTACTAAAATTATTTTTTAAGAAATTAGTATCTGTTTATTTATTTATACGAGTTATTATTATATTAACGATATCAATTGTACCTAATTGATAAAAGAAAAATATATTTGCGTGGTTTTTTCATATAAACCAATTAAAACAGCGTATTTGTTTACGGAGCTTTGTTTCACTGGAGCTCTAGCTGGTTTGGTAATACGCTCCTCGTCCTCCAGGCACAAGGAAACTTTTTTTGGCATACTTCTTTTATCACGACTGAAGAATATTTAAAAATATGATTTTTACGTTGTAAAATATGATATATTTTCAACATTTAATCCATATTTCAAATAAAAATACATTGTTGTATTTGTAGATAATTATATTCTAACATGCGCTATAGAATAATAATTTTAGTAGAACTCGTTCTGAAACTTAAATGAGGGTATATAAAAACTTTTTCAACTTAAACAGATCTTAGTATTTCATCGGTTAATGTTTTTCATAGTAAAAATTAATTATTGTAAATAAAAAACATTCATATTTAAATAATATTTTTTTGGCGGCGTATGGCGACAGGAGCAACGATGAGACATAATCCATACTCCATAACTTGATAATGTACATAATCTATGAGGTATAGTCTATGTCCAATATTATTTATTTTGTTCAATTCACGTTTGTTAAATATTGTCATTCTTACAAATTATATTTTTTATAATTCCTACCCATTGTGTATGTTAATAGAAATAAAATAAAAAAATTATTTATTTATTTTTTTTAGTTCTCAAAATGTAATTAATTATTAAAACATTGTATTTATTTCTATATTATAGTAAACACCCGAAATCTAGAAGTCGATTCAGAGTGAAACGAACTTACGATAAATAAATACATACCTACTTACTCCCACTGGTACGTTGTTTTTCTTTTGAATAACAACTGTGATTATAATTAAATCAATTAATTTTATATTTTTTAGTTACTATTTTATTTTTTTATATTTAATTCGTTCCTTTTTTAAACTTACAATAATTAAGTATTCTCGGTTAAGTAAATAGTTTTCCATTACTTAAATCAATTTTTTGCATTCAATATGCATTTAAATCAGCGGTTCTCTAACTGTGGTACGCGAAAAACTACATGGTGGTACATGAAAGGCCGTATGGTGGTAGAACGGAAATTAAAAATTCAATATTTAACTCATATATTAATTTAAAAACACTAATAAATTTATGTGAATAAATAAATAATTATTTTATTTCAGTATTTCACAGCCTTTTTGTTTAAAATAAATATATTTAACCATGTAAAGTTTATATGGCTTTATTTTTAATCATTAATGGTATGTGACTGATTGATAATATACTCAAATGGTACGCGAAAAAAAATGTTTGAGAACCACTAATTTAAATTATTAATACACTAAATTTATCAATTTAATAGTATTAGTAATTTTTTTTATTATTATTAAATATATTTTTTTATTTCGTCTGCATAAGTAGTCTCTATACTTCTGGATACCCCTTTTCATTTTTTCTTTTGTTATTAAAGCATTAATTTTTTGCTATAATTCAAAGTATAATTTTTTTAATAATATTTACTATGTTTTCTTTAGTACATAAATAATGTTTAAAATTACAATATAAATTATATTTTTCTCGGCCTTCAGGCACCACGAAACTAAGTCATTTTTAACGTACTTCTTTTATCGCGATTAAGAAGTACCTATTTATAAATATTATTTATTGTTATAAGATATGATTTTTAATATTTAATCCCTACTTCAAATAACAATACATTGTTATATTTATACATTCTAATATGTGCTATAGCCTAATAGTTTTAGTAAAAATCGTTTTGAAATTTAAATGAGTGTATAAAAACTATTACAACTTTAACAGACCTCAGTATTCCATCGGTTAAAGTTTTAAAATAAATTGTTGTAAATAAAAAACATTCACATTTAAATATTATTTTTTGGCGGCACAACGTGGCAGGAGTAACGCTGAGACAGATAATCTATATCCAATGTTACTCGTATTATTCTATTTATGTTGTAATGGACACTATACGTGCACCTATTTACAATTTATTTATTTACTCGGATTATTGGGAGCCAATTTGTAGTCATACTGACTACAAATAATAGACCAGGAATAGGTGTTATGATAATTCTATAAATTTATTGATATGACATAATTGAAAGAATTTACAATGTTTTAATCATCTTATATAATATTGAGCATAATAAATATTAATGTAATTGTCATTTGACTCAGCAAATATCAACTAAAGAAAATAATAGTAATTTCGCGGAGTAATTATATAATCTTAAAGTCCCATTCGCAGGCGGCGACGGCGCACAGTAGTCTGAAAAGTAAATTTAGCTTACATAAAATTGAATTGTAGTGTTTATTCGTAATAAATTATCATATGTTTTTACTTTTGTGTAGGTAATAACTATTAAATAGATAAATTACCATGTTTTACTAATTAGGAGACCTATAGACGTCTTGCAAATTTGGTACACTTAAGGACTTCGATTAATCTATACGTATTTATATTAATATGCAATATTATCGACTTATTAAATCATAATATTATTTATTATAAAAATTTACCATTCTTCATCATTTTACTTTTATTCTTTAGAATATTATTTAAATAATTATATACAATATTATTGTGTTTAGTAATGAAATATTAAAAAGAATTATTAAACTTAAATGATTAATATTATAGAAGTTATATTATTATTCCGAATCATAATCAGATTCAGATTTACTAGAATCACTTGCTTGCTCTTCAGGCATTATTATTAAAAGTTTTGCATCGTCTGAAAATGTTTGCAATATTTTGGGTTGAATGTTTTGCATTGACGGTATTAATGTAGCAACATGTTAATGAGATCTTCATCAATTTTCACTCTGGATAATTTTCTTTTGTGATGTTCCCTGTAGTTTTTGTAATTTTTGTTTTGGTATTATTGAGCTTTTTCAGACAATTGGCCTTTCGAAAAAACGAATTTTTTTTATAAATATATATTTTTCATATTATACACACAAATATAATAAATAATATTTAAAAATACCAATTGGCAAAATTGCATGCCGGATAACATCAGCTCCATAAAATAAAATGTTATGTACAGATGGAGGCATACAGTACCAGGGGTAGAGTTCATCAAATAGTTTAGCTGTTTGGATACCATACGTTTCAAAAGAATCTGTATTTATTTCATACCCACTTTCCATGACAGTTAAAATCGTTCCAAATCATTTGATTAAATTGATGTTCAAACCAGTAATATCATCTCATTTTTTTTGCATTTTAAAGAACTTCCTGGTTGTGTATTAATTATTTTTTATACCGCAACCTATTTTAACGATATTATAATTTAAATTAAAAATAGTTATAAACATAATAATTTTTAAATTAAAATATATCTTGTAATACTATATCTACTAATAATCCCATTTCAGAACGAAATTTTTCTTGTATTTCTTTTTTTTTTTACTTGCAAACTTCAATTTATTTTCAGTAGTTTCCACTTATAATGCATTAATTTATGTTTTCTTTAAAAATTTAGTTAATAGAAGGTATACATAAGTATAATACCTACTTATGTATACCTTCTATTAATTTTATTTTAAGTATAATACCTACTTA